ACCTGAGGACCCCCCCGATGACACTGTTGTTACTGTTACTGCGAGTGATGCGATGCTGAAACCTACAAACTCCATAGAAAACAATACTGCTGGACTATTACTTATAAATGATAGTGTTTAGACTGATAATCAGGAGAGCCTCGTAGCTTCACTTCTTTAAGAAGTATCCGGTGTAGAGACAACTCATACTTCACATATTCTAGAACCTATTGTGGGTACTACTGTTGGCATTCCTTCTGCTTTAGCTCTACCCCATCAGGCTGATTCTTCGGAGGAGGAATGACAGATTTATACTTCCAGGAGGAAGAAGAAGAATGGAGATCTACTAGAGCTCAGGAGTTTTATGGATGATAGTTTGATTATTACGGATAATGGTCAACATCATACCAATCTGCTAGCTGGATTCCTACCAAGAACTAGAGCCAGAGGCAAGACTAGATTGAGATGACCCACACTTTTTCAGCGCCCAGATGATTTTTGGGTTTTTTTTTATTTCTATATGTACCAATCTTTTACATTTTTTGGTGTGTGTTGTACCGTGTGGGTTGGGTGTTTAGTTGGGTGTTTAGGCCCACCCATACAAACCTATCTATACTTTTCTCTTTAAAATATCAGCCCTTGGGCTTTTAAAAAAAATATATATATATATACATACATACATACATACCTCTCCGCTGAAGGTTAAAATATAAGGAAGCAATTGCCAATTTCAAAATGAAGTTCTCATCAAATTATAAACATAATCTTTTCAGAGAAAAAAAATAAAATAGTCTCTAGATTATTTACATCAAGTTAATTTAATTCCACATAATTTTTTCAAATTAATCCATTGACTTCTCAAATATGACCTATAATAATCCTTTGAACTATTTTCGATCAAATTTGACAAGTCAAAAGGGGGTACGCACCTACCAAACTCCTTACCATTACCCGCTCCAGCCGCACTTCTTACTGCAGCCTGCACCCCCAAACCCTCTTTTCCAACCGCATACTCCACTCCTCAACCTTGCTGTCACTTCCTCCTCTAGCCTACCTGTCACGGGTTCTCCTGTAATCTGCTCCCCTACTGGACTGGCCAGTCGAAAGCCCCTCCCTGTCCCTTTAATTGTTTGCCCCAAACATTCCAGAACCCTATTCCTCCTGTTACCCTCTCCACGCCACCCTGTTGTCTGCCCCTCGACATCGTGAGACCTTGTGTCATGTCATATTTTCTTGTGTTTTGAGTATTTAATTGTAATCCCCATTGTTGTGAGCAATAAAAGTTGGTTTTCCTTTTGGGTTTTGGGTTAACTCTAGTGTCAAATGCAGTTGTTCTTTTCTAGTTATGCATAAACCAACAAAACTCCTTAGCACCGGACTGGAAAAAAGCTGAATTTAAAATTTCAAGTAAACAGGACAGATGATAGGATTAGATGCAACTATGCATAACCATCTAGATCAATCCACTCAATCAAACCGTCCCAGTATTCCCATAAAGCACAAAATTAGCTAAGCAGATTAACTAATGCAGCATTAGCTAAGAATGTTAGAAAGTTGGCATTAGTTCAGAATATGAATAACACGCATTTGAGGAACTGAATTTAAAAGCCTATTGCAAGATACTAGCCGAAGGCACTTCTGCATTAACTCATTCCAAATGATGCAAATAATCAGGAAAAAAAATGTAGAGTAACAAAACCACACCATTTGATTCCCATGTAAGAATGGAAAAAAGAAAAAGAACTGTAAGCAAATACTCACTTGAACATTTACTACCAAACTGAACAGTCCTTTCTCAGAGGCAACCTGCATCAACAAATCAAAGGGAAGAAGTTTTCACAAGGCGTCAATGAAAATATTCGCATATTTCACCATCCCAAAAATAGTTGCACTGCAAGCTGAAGCATTTCTCCATTCATTAACATAAATAAAATGATAAAAAGCAGTTAGACACAATTAAACACTGAATATACATGAACCTTTATAATATGTACACCAAACTTACACAGATAAAAGTGAAAGGACATGAAAGAAATTCCATAAGAAAGCATTCTGAATCAGCAGGTTCTTCAACACTTAATTCTAAACGAGCAAGAATTTAAGCAAATGTTCCTCTCCTTGTAGCTTTAAGAACTTTTTCTTTAAAACAGAGTTGTTTGCCACAACTAACAATACAATAGGAAATCCAGTAAGCATGCCGTTACTTGGTCTCCATTATCTGGAGCACATTGCAGTTATGTTCCCCTACAGATTCAGCCAAATAACACTATAGGTGGTTTTTTTTTCTCACTTTAATCAAGAAAAGAGATGAGCATATTATTACTTATAAGAATATATTTAATAAAACACATATTAATTATTTTTTTATGAGAAGATATCATCAAGAATGTAAAGATTGTAAGGTCATTTCGGTGAGAATTTAAGTACTCAATATCAATTATTAGTTCTAGATTTTAAAATGAAGAGTTGTGAAATAAAGAATACTAAGAATCATCATCATAGAATTAGATGGGGGTACCTAAAAGACAAATAAAATTATTTTTATAAGTAAAATTCAATATTTTTAAAAATTTGAGATGTTCATGAAGAAGCAAATTCTATGTGGGATAAAGTAACAAATACTATTAAACAAGTGACAAAAGTTGTACTCGGAGAATCAAAAGAAAAAATCTCTATAAATAAAAATAGTTTGCGCTGGAATAATAATATACAAGAAAAGATAAAATATAAGAATTTATGTTACAAAAATTTGTTTAAATGTAAAAGCTTAGAGAACTGCGAAAAATATCAAACAGCATGCATGGAGTCTAAGAGAACAATCTGTGACACTAAAAATTATGCTTTTAGTGATCTTTATAATAACAGATTAAATACTAAAGAAAGTGAAAGATATATGTAGAAATTAGTCAAACAAAGAGAATAGAAAATTAAACATTTAACTCAAGTAAAAAACATTAAAAATAAAAATAAAAAAGTGTCTTTCTTAGAAAAAGATATTCAACATAGGTTGGTGAGTTATTTTGATAAACATTTCAATGAAGCGTCTAAAAATATGATTAGTCTTAGTAATCTTAATATCGTTATTAATAATAAAATGACATAAAACTGAGAAAAATATCAAAAAAGCCCATAGGAAGTCTAAAAAAATAATTTGTGACGCTAATAGTTCTGCTTTTAGTGATCTTTATAATAGATTTGATGTCAAAGATGGTGAAAAATATATGTATAAATTAGTCAAACAAAGAAAAAAGGAAAGTAAATATTTAACTCAAGTAAAATGTATTAAAGATGAAAACCAAAAAGTATTTTTTTAGAAAAAGATATTCAAAATAGCTGTAGGAGTTCTTTTAATAAACTTTTTAATGAAGTTTAGGAAAATACGATCAGCCTTAGTAATCTTAATATCGTTATTAATAATAAAATGTTTCATTTTTACCGCTATATTAGTAAAAAAGAAATTGATGAGGCTTTAAGGAAAACAAGGGGTGGAAAGTCTATAGGACCTGATGATATCCCGGTTGAAGGGCGGAAAGATTGAAGTGCGGAAATATTTAGAAGATTTGAGAGTTTCTTAGCTTGCTAAACTCTTTAATATTATTTTAAAAACTAAAATGATGCCTGAGGAGAGGAGGAAGAGTATTTTGGTCCCCATTTATAAGAAAAAGGGGATGCGCAAGAAAGTGAAGATTATAAAAGAATTAAGTTGATGTGCCATATTTTAAAATTGGAGAGGGTAATTGAACATAAGTTAAGACATAGTACAAAGATTTCTCATAATCAATTTGGATCTATGTCGACCAGATCTATTATGGATGCTATACATTTATTGAGAGGTTTGATGGAAAAGCTCAGAGATAATAAGATAGATCTACATATGATTTTTATTGATTTAGAAAAATCTTACCATAAAATTCCAAGAGATATCCTTTGGAGAGTTCTTGAGAAGAAAGGTATTGATATGACTTATATTAAAATCATTAAAGATATGTATACATGAGCTGTTACTTGTGTTCAAACAGAAGGAGGATTGACCAAATAGTTTCCTATTTCTGTTGGTTTAAGGATCAGCTTTAAGCCCATATCTTTTTTCTTTAGTTATGGATGGTCTAACTGGACACTTCAGAAGGATGCACCTTGTTGTATGCTTTCTGTTGATGATATACTTCTCTTGGATAAGACGAGAAAAAACTTAGGAAAAACTTGAATTATGGAGGTCTACGTTGGAGTCTAAAGAACTTCGTTTGAGTAGAAATAAAACTAAATATATTGAATGTAATTTTAGTAGTAGTAGTAGCTCTGATGACAGAAATGTAACTATGGGTGATCAAATTATTAAAAAGTGTGAATGTCTTAGATAGCTCGGATTATTTTTCAAAGCCATGGTGATATTGATGAGGATGTTATTAGTAGAATTCAAGTTAGTTGGTTGAAGAGGAGGAATGCTTTGAGCCTATTGTGTGATAGAAAAGTACCGCTTAGACTAAAAGAAATTTTTTATAAAATTATGGTGAGACCTGCAATGCTCTATGGCATTGAATGTTGGCATTTAAAAGAGAAGCATAACACTAAGTTAAGTGTTGTCGAGATGAGAATGATTAGGTGGATAAGTGGCTATACACTCAGAGATAAAATGCGAAATGAATATATCCGTGATAGGGTTGGTGTTGCTTCTGTGACGGACAAAATTAGAGAGAGTCTTAGATGGTTTGGTCACATTAAACGTCGACCATCTGATGATCCGATTAGAAGAGTAGATGTTTTAGATTCGACTTATGTTACGAAAGACAGAGGTGACCTAAGAAAACTTGGGCATATTGTATAAAAAATGATCATAATTTATCATAATTAAATGAAAATATGACACTAAATGGGATGCAATGGAGAAAAACTATTCATGTAGCCGACCCCACTTAGTGTGATAAAGGTTTTGTTGTCATCGTTGTTGTTGTTGTTGTAGGCATGCATTGAATGTCAAAGAGCTGAAGGTATTTAAAAAAAAAAACACCTAACCAGTAATAACTGGGGATTAAGATTTCAAGTTCTAATGTGTGTGTTATAGTTTCTGGTCAAAGTTGGGTTCAAGTTTATAGTCTACAACTAAAATCTATTGAGCTTAGACTTCATAACCTAGCCTGATCGAAACTTAATTGGGTGTGTAATTAGTCAATAAAGGACAAGATTGCAAATCATAGATGAGCCCAACAAAGGCTATGTTTTAACAGATTTCAGGTAGCCATCTCAAAATTCAACTCCCATAGAGGTTGAATATAAAAAAAACATGCAAATCCAACATTTTAATACAATTCTGTAGAAAAGTAGCTTAAAAAAAGAAAATAAATAATTACAATAACTAAAACAAAAAATAACCCTAGCTATCCCACTATTTGATCATTTTGGGAGGGATGGTTGATAACAAATAAATAAATTGTGAGAGAGATATTTCCTCACAAGCAATGAATCCATAGCCTTTAAGTTGCCTGATCTAAGTCTTCCACTAGCCCTTCTTGATCTAATGATAGCTCAACACTTCCCCTCGAATCGGATGGTAAATATCTTTCATTCCAAGTTTGTTTATAATATTCTTAAATGGAAAATATCTGGGCCATTCGGTGAATATATAAACAATCAATATTCCTATTTGAACGTTATAAGAGAAAACAATCTACTTTCTATTTTTTGCTTTTATAAAATATCTATCCACATCCACATAATCGTGTTGTATAGGATTGAGATTAATGTTGACAGATTTATTATCATGATACACCCCACTTGAAATTTAAGTCTCTAGTAAGATCTTTATCCATAGAAACCCATGGATTCCTTCGGTTCCCTGAAATCAAATCCAACATTAGGTCTTGAGACATGTTATTTCCTACTCCTCAATGTTATGAGATTTTCTCTCAATAACATAATAACCCGAAATGGATCATCTGTCCCTCAGGTAATCCAGCATAGTATGCACCATTATATCATTCAATTTGTGAGGTATTCTATTTTTTATATGGAATTCCTTTCCTCGTACTTGATTTAAAGTATCTAAAAATTTTGTATAGAGAACTTAAAGTTGAGATTCCCATAGAGGTTTTCCTCTATCTGGATTCTCTAGTAAGCAAAATCTGCACCATTATTCGAAAATTTGTGCCATTGAAAGATTTATTTGAACTATGAAATTTAAGATTACAATTAATAATTAAATTAGAGCTAACATTAATTATATATTAAATAAATTTAATACAAATCATAAATATTGAATAATGTTGTCCTATCGATTGTCAAATTAAAATGACATGAATAGTTAAAATAAAAAATTATAAACAACAATTAAAACAACATAGTTAATTAAAAGATTAGTTAAGCAGAATAGAATAAGATCAAATTTTTATCTTTTTATGATAATATAGGCATCAACCTATTTGAGACGTGTATTAAGGGTGTTTGAAGGTTGAAAGTAGGCAAATTGACGAAAATGAAGGGTGTTTGGAGGTTGGAGGCAAGCTAGTTGAACGAGGTGTGTACTTTTACTTCTAGATTATGATAATAATATTATTTTTCCTCTAAATCACTCGTATTACAATTATATTTGCCTAAATATCTTGGTACTACAAGTATGATATGATTATTCTGACATACAAGTCAAATTGATCATATAGAAAAAAAATGTCAAGGAATTACATGGTTACAATTATTTATTATAGGTATATATTATAAATGAAAGATATTGAATGATGAGTAGAATGCAAATAAAGTGATCATAGTATGTTTGTGTACGTTGATTGATAAAATTCATCCCCCTTATAATACTAATTAGAGAAACTAAGGTACTCATGTACATAATTGAAAAAGATTATTTATATTAGAGTATGTTAACATACACAATATTATACGGTGCACCTATGACAGCTTATAAACATTAAGATAAAGATATAAAAAGTTATTGTATTATATTATTAAATACCCAAAACATAATTGCATGGTCATAATTAAATATTAAGTTGGAATGAATAATGGCGGGAACGGAGAGTCGAAAAAAAGGAAATTAAATTTATATGTTCATTTACTATTTAACAGATGAAAGAAACACTAAATTAAATTAAATTAAAATAATAAAATTTCACTTAATATAAGTTGTCCGCGACTTCTATAAACATTTTCTCATCTATCATTCATCTTTCAATTAATTAAAATTTACAAGAAAAATTCATTTTAAAATAACATTTAGCTAAACAAGCCAGTGAATACTCAAACTACTATATTACAACAAAAAAAGAAAAAAAATATATTATTCATGTCAGTTAAGCTACTTTATAAATAAATGTAAAAATTTAAAATGTTATTAAAAAATTTCAATGCTTGAACTTTTAATTTTAATTATTATAACTAAAATTAATACACAAATTACTAAATTTATACAAAATATTTTTAGAATTAAAACCTAACATTTCCTCCGGGTCGCTACCTTTTCATCGATTCAGGAGGCGAACTTTTATAGCCTGTATCAAATACATTTATGTTATATATTAAAGAGGAAAATATACAGATAGGTTGTATGAGAGGACCTAAAAGAAGACCCAACTCATACAATACAACACACACAACTCCAAATAAAACAAAGATACAAAAGGATAAAAAACCAAAAAGCCACCAACGGGCGCAAAGTGCTAGGGACGTCCCATTTTAGTCTTCCATCTACCTCTAGTTCACGGAAGGGAGTCGACTAACAGATTGGTAAGATACGTAACATTACCTGAAGTAACCAACGTATCGTCCATCAGATTCCCGAGCTCAAGTAGGTCTCCATTATTCTTCTTCCTACTGGATGTGTAGACCTGTCATTCCTCATCCGAGGACTGACTCATCTAATCAATGAATTATTCCAAAAGTGGTCGGACAAGTGTAGGCTGTTGCACATCACGATTCTCATGAGCCTAAGAAACATTAGCATTTTGCTCGACCAGATAAGACGGTAGTGAAGCAGTAGAAGTATTGCCACATATAATTTCAGTAAAAGGTTCTAAAGCAGGTGGGGCCTGAAGAATCTCCCTCACCCCCACAATTGGATGTTCCAAAAACGGAGGAGCTACAATATTGTGTGAAGACTGAATATTTGACATATTGCCTGAGAGGTTAGTGACGTCTTCAAGGGTATCCTTTTGATGATCAATAGTGTCAATAACTTGTAGCTGAATAAGAGTTGGATTTTCTGCCTCTGGAGGAGCGCTTTGTTTTTTTTGTCTGAATTGAGGGTGTAGATAGTGACATTGAAAACTGGAGTGGTCGAACATAAAATAGTTCGAACACTAAGAAGGAAAAAACTCAATCACTACCTTTTGCCAATATCAATGGTGTTGTGTGCCCAACCAAATTTCCTCAGAAGCGGATAACGGGACGTCTCTTTCAACAAGTGCTCTAGCTTTAGATGGACGAGAAAGATTAAAAGTAGGAATGTCCGTTTTAAGCGGTGTACCAGAAGCTTTAAGTGGTTTACCATAAGCTGATTCAATAGAATACAATATTTTTTGAGTGAAATAATGAAATTTCAAACCAGGGAGGCGAATCCAAACCAGAATAATTGGCGGTTCCGTCTGAATTGGCGGTTCCGTCTGTGGGTGGGTCAAAATCCACAGACAATTTCAGAATCTTCATTGCTCTGTTATCAATCCAAATAATCATTCTAACAAATAAACACATTTAATCCTCTTCATTATTAAATTGAATAACAATGTCTTTTATCTAAAAATCTAATTTTTCACTTCCCAACAAGGTGCATAAGCTCAAATTCCTTACGAATCAGCTCCATTTTGGGATGGCATACAGAAATTTCCCTACCAAATTCAGACGACAGAAGGAAGCAAGTTGAATACTTTTAGCTTCAGTAAAAAAGATGACAGGTTTCCCATTCTTCCTACCAGGTTTCTTTATGTCCTCTTCCCATTCAAATGAAAGAGGAAAAGAGCACAATTTAGGCGTACCTGAGGCTTGGGCACCCACAAGAGCAGCAACATACGACATGTACAAAGCCATCCCCAATAGATGAAGCTGTAGAGAGCAAATTACGAAACCAAACTGAAGCACGGAGCGGAGGAAAGCCCCTCTGTGAGCTGAAGAAGACCAACTAGCGACAGCTAAGAGACGGCCTCGAGCACGACTTCTCGGGACGGACGAGCCGCAGACACCCGTACCCAGACGTCTGCCCAGATGTCCCTCAAAAGATGCAGCGAGAGGCAACTGAGAGCTGTTGAATCAGGACGATGGAACCCGCTGAACAGACGCCCCAAGCCTGACGACCTGTCGAGAGAGCCGCTGAATCGGGATGATGAAACAGAGTCGCTACGACGTGACGGAGGAAAACTGGCGACGAAGACGAAAAGGGCAAGAACGAAACAGTTCGACAAAAATACAGTGAATGAAAAAAATCAAGGATTGCCATTTATATATATATAATATATATATATATATATTGTTGCGTACCCCGGTTTGTTGGGTGTCATCCACGGTATAAGATCCCATAGGTCGGGGGTTCGAATCCCCTCTAGCATAGTTAGCCTTAAGGAGGAGGTATTCGAATTATGTTGAGCAAAACTACTCACGCACGCCAATTCTCCAAAAGTCCTCCCTCGGCTTGGCCCAACACTACACATGAAGCGAGATCTTCTTCCTCTACATGACACCCACCCAGGCTCAATAGAGACGTCGTCGCCAAACACCGACGCTGTCCCTCTTCTCCTCTGTGATGCTTTTTCCCCTCTTCTTCTTCTTCGTTCGTAGGCTAAGGCTCAGCTTCCTTCGCCACTCCCACCTTCCTCATTTCTATTTGCACTGAACGACTCATAGATCGACTTACACAATGTTTCTTTTACATTGATTAGATAAACTTAACTGACATGCATTTTTTTTCCTTTCATTAAATTACAATAATTTGGAAGTATTATTATTAACTGGCAATTGTAGCTTAATATGTTTTAAATTAACTTATTTAGGTTTAAGCTTTTGTTTAAAGATGAGTGAGAGAATTAAATGTTTACAAAAGATGTGGGCAATTTGCCATAAGGTAAATTTAACTATTTTAATTTAATTTCTTTTTTATTCGGCTCTTTCATAAGTAATTGTTGGCTCTGAAGAATGAAAATAAAAAAAATTTAATTTCAACATCCGGCCTTTTGTTCCAAGCTTGAAAATTCCAAATCCTTAGGCCGGGTTGTGACAATCTGTAACCAACACCATTTAATTTTATTTGCTGACTTAGCAAATTTTTATAGTAACCAGTCAGACAAATAAATCTGAGTCGTATTTATAACAATGACTCCTTCGATTAAATAATTTCACTCTGCAACTAACAAATTCACTTCAAAACATCGAAAACAATACTAAATAAAAATCGAGAATTATCTTATATTTACTATCACATTCCATAAAAAAATATAAAAAAACTACATTATAGAAAACAGAAGAAACTAGAATTCATCTTGCCTGAACTGCACAGCCTCGTCTCCTGGCGACATGGTCCATCCTTTTCACATCCTTGAACCAATCAACTGCCACAAGCTTCATTAAAGGTTTTCCAGCAGGTATCTGCAAAACAACCAACCAATTCCATGAACAACAGAAGCTGGAAAAGAAAGTTAAGCTCAACACACACAAAAAAAAAAAAAATGTTTATCAAATAAGGTTACTCATGACCTTTGTTTTGTCGTTACAGAAAGTCTTGCTGCGGACTTTGAAGTTGTTTCCATCAGATATCCTCCAACAATCTCGAACATTATCACGGTCATCATGCCTTAAGTTGCCAGAAAAGGATGTCAAATCAAGCTGATCCAAAGGATCCTCATCTAGAAACATCATTGAAACAATCACATAAGAGACATTCTTTAGTGCTTCTGATTAAAAGCATAACCATAACAAAACAGCTCACAAACCTGCTTGTCTTACAGTATTCTCATTCTTGAAAGAGTCCGCCTAGCAAAGGCATGGTATAAATTTTCAAATTTGCAAATAGGATTTGAAGAAAAAAACGTGTTACAAGAATGAAGTCTACCAACCACTTCAGGCACGTGAATTTGGAAATCTTCATCCTCATCTGATTCTTCATCCAATAACATAGAATGTCCACCGGTAGAATGCAATTGCTCCGAAGGAATAGACTGATTAGAGTTGTCCTGGCTTTTTCCTCCCTTCTTGAAAGAAACTGAATTTGAAGCAATGTTCATCATAACTGGTATCCTTGGAACTGTGTGGGTTTCATCTGTTTGGGAGAACCATTCACGCAATCCTACAGAAGATGAGACAAACTTTGAATAAATAGTAATAAAAAAAGGATAATCATTATGATGTTTAATGAACAGATACATCTACGGCTATGCAAGAGAAAAATAAGCATCGTTTTGAGAATTGAAGATGTTTGAGATACATAGAAGTAGCAAAAGAAGAATAAAAATGAATAAATTAATAACGGCAAAAGCCTCAATTGTAGTTTTGATCAATCATATTGTAAGTTGAAACTACCAAAATTGAGTTACTAGTGGATAAGAGCAGTACCAGCTACACTGTTCAACATCTGAAGCAAACAATGTTGCTGAAATGATGGAAAATAACCAACACCCCATCCTTTTAAATCAATTTGCATGAGATGTTGAACTTTTGTTCGAGTTCTCCCATTGCGTGATTTTAGAGGAGAAATGTTAAATCCACCACCTACACAAGGAGAAACAAAGCATTACAGAAAAGCGTTAGAAGTTACAGTTTCAAGTATATCTTAATTTTGCTCAATGCCTTAACAATAGAAAGTGGAGCAAAAAGTCAAAAGTACTTTCAATATGGGCCCTAACAAATCCTGGTTGTCCACCACAATTTGGATGCTCCCTAGACCGAAATAATACAACTGCACAAAAGAGCGATGGAACATTTATGCTAGGTGGATGTGCCAAATAAAGAAAACGGAAGGGAGTATGCCAACTGAAAGAGTTACCATAGCTTCCATCATCATTACGTCGCCAGTAGCGCACATAGCAAAGATCACGCGGCCACACAAGCCTGCACAATAAGTTAATTCAGACCAAAACATATTTATTACCTTCAAAATTAAGATATCCAGTACAAAGAATGTCAGTTGGAAATGTAGAACAATTGGATTATGGTAGAGATGTAAAAGACGTAACAAGATAGAATGCAAATAGTATCTTTAAAAGTAAACCAACATCACTAATTTCTAGAAGTAAACTGCATTCAACAAATAATAGAAGCCACACGTCATCCTGCTGTGAATCATGGATTTCATGCAATTGGATTCTTCCATTTATCCCTGAAAGTGTTTGCAAAGCAGATATAAAAAAAAAGAAAAAGAAAAGCTAAATATAATTTAAAATTTCACTCCAAAAAATGCAACACTAACTTGTGTCACGACACGGCCCAAGACTTAGAATTAACCAAAGGCAGATACAAATAGTCGGACGGTGTGAATTAAGTTTTCTATATTCATCTACGATTTAATAGATGAAGGAACCATTAAACAATTTAAATTAAAGCAATACAATTAAAAATTATCTCATTACCGCTTGTCCCCATCGTCTATAAATATTTTCTCGTCTATCGCTCATCTTTTAATAATTTAATTAAACCTGAATAGTTCGTTAAAACAACAGTGAGCTAAACGAGTCAATGAATACTCATACTCCTAAACTACAACAATACAAGAAAAAAGAACAATATTAAATCAATATAAACATTTAGCATGCTATTCAAAGAATATATATCAATATCATGTCAATATTAATATACACCGTCACAAGAACACCGTTTAAAAATTGAATAACTTGAGGAACTTCAATATCAATATCCTTTTTTTATTTACGTGCACGGGTACATTAGTGTTCCCCCACCAATACTATCAAGGGGAGACTCCACCATAGTCGGTCATACACATACAAGTAATTTATGCAAATCATATCATTCATAATTCTATATCACTCAACTACAATGCATTGCTTATTTCATATCATGAGATTATAAGCATTCGTATCGAAATCACCAATAAAATTCAATAACTGAATAATCAATAGAGTTAATCAAACATAATTAAAAAAACCATAAAACCAGTTTAGAAGAGATCAAAATGATGTTATAATTTAAGAATAGAGTACTCACCTTGATGCCGACTAATTCGATAAGATTTTGCCCCGACGTCTACTTTTCTAGAGTGAAAACTTAGCATACACATGATATAAAACTTAATTAACTTATTATTTTAAGTAAACTATTATCTTTTCATTATTAGTTAAGTATTAAATTTATTTTATTATGCTTATTTTTCCTATTCAATATTATATTATTATTATTATTAATTATCAATTAATTAAACCCTTTGTACTTGTTCGAACCTTCCCCTCACACGCCTCCCCTACGCACACAAAAGAAATAAGCGACCTCTCTTCCTCTCTAAGCTTTTCGATTAGCAGGAAAGGCTTCACACTTCTCCTCTTCTTTGCATGTGAGAGTTGAATCGCACCCGCACCCGAGATCTCCTCTGCGACTTCCTCCTCTTTCACGTCACGACACCGATAGCTCGACCCACACGCTGATACTTCCTCAGACCTCCTCGTCGTCAACTAGGGCTTCTCCCTCACTTTTCTCCTCTCCTTTGCCCGTTGCTCGGCTCTCAAGTAAGTTGGTCTCCCTCTGCATCTCTTAAGTCCCTTTCATAGGCCGAAGTAACCTTAGGTTTCCCTGACTCCTCACCTCATCTTCCTCCCTGGTCGACTCTTCATTCCCTCTTCCTTTCTTCGGCTACTAACTGTTCGGTTCCTCTTTTTCATTACGGTCCATGGTCCACTCGACTCTTCGCTTTCTATCTTCTTCGGCTTTCCGTTTCTTCTCCTAGGTAACTGAACATTACAACTTCCTCCTCTATCTATAAGTTCAAGTGCCTAGCTTATAAACTAAAGCACAAGCACAAATCTTCTAAGATTAACTAACATGAATGTCTCTTAAGTCCTGTTTGTAGACTTAGACAAATTTTCTTTATATTAAATTAATTATTAAATTGGAGCTTCAATAATCCTTTTACAAGAAAAATTCATTGCCATGGATAACTTGGTATAAGATTTCTGGCATTGCTGATGATACAATACCAATCATGTACTTTACAATTTGGTTATTTTTGCTATTCTATTGTTTAAGTGTTAAGAGTTTTTATACTAAAGCAGTTTTGCGAAAGGTTAAGAATACATCCATTACTTCCTATATACTACAAGAGATTCAATATTCAAAAATCAAGCGGACAATTGCAGGAAGAAATTTTATTCCAAGTTTTGAACCACATGATTGAATCTGTAAGTTATGCCCGTAAGCTTAGCTGCCTTGCAGCCCGCTGCAGAATACAGTTTTGAATGAATTGGCAAACATCATGATCAAGCATGCAGTGAAGTAGTAAATACATATTCTACATCTACAAACCAAAACATAATTTTGAAACTCTCTCCCGCATTTTAACTCTTCTGAATATCACAAATCTTCAAACATCTACCTTGTCATTTCTTTGAAATGTCAGTTCCAACTCTATTCAAGAAACAAAATTTCCAACCACAATCATAGAATCATGTGCCTTTAAGGTATCCATCATAGTTGTAAGAAAGAAAAATTCAGCTAAAATTTAAACAGAAAATGCACTTCTAATAAATATACAGCAAAGAGAGAAATACATTCAGGAATTGCAGGAAATTGGAGAGTTATTAGGAAAGAATAAAGCTATATCGATATAGTTCACAATTCACTGCAAAAAATGGAGATTGGAAGACTAAAAATTTTGCCAACCAGATCCCTTCTATAAAAAATACAGGTAGAATAATTATTTTTTTCCTGCTGCCAAATAATTATTTGGTATCAGAACTATGGTGTCACTCTTTCTGCGTAAGTCTCCCTGCCTGAAAAGCTTTTGTCCCTTATGTTTTTCCCAGATTCAAAAGACGGCGCTGTCTCTCTTGTAGGCACGCGCAGCAGAATCCCAGATTCAAACAAGGGCTTTGTTTCTCGCATACACACAAGCAGCAGCAAACTATCACAGATCCCGTTCACTTCCATTCGATCTTCATCTCTCTCGCAGCAGAAGCCCAGATTCAAACCCCTCACTTGTTCAACATGATCAAAAAGAGGTTGTCAAGCTGAGGGCCAAGATTGAGAAGGCCTTTCTCTAGATCCTTAAGAGAAAGGGATCAATCCCCTTCTTTAAGACTGTTGCCGATCATCTTCGTCATCAGTCTGATTTCATCAAACAGATCACAAATCACAGAACTATTTTACTCTTCAGTTCGTTAAAGCAGCGAACTATTCTCGCCCTACCAATCCATTTGGCTTTCTCAAGCCTACGTCTCATGAGTTTCCTTTTGAAAATAGCCCAATCAGCTTTTTCTTAATGCTGCACCAACCTGAGCCGTGACAATCATTACATTAAAAGCGGTGCAGTTTTAACAATCATTACATTAAAGACAGCTCAGTTTTAATAATCATTACATTAAAGGCGGCACAACTTTAGAAATTGTTTTTCATCAAGAAATTCAGCTTCTTCTCGACAGAAGATTTCTCAACTGACTTCTCTACTCAACTTTAAGCATCAAAATAACTCACGACCAAATTGACTCGAATTTTTCCCCTATCCTCTTCTTTCCTCTAGTGATGTCGTATAAGTTGGCAATGACTGGCGCCCAAAAAAATTCTACATTTTTCTACTAGTTCTAGTAATTCCGAAACTAATTCACACTACCCATAATGGTGTGAGCATTCCAAAAAATCAAAACATATAAAGAAGACAAATTGGAAGCTACATAAAAAAACCTGTGAATCATAATTCAAAATCCAAACAGGAACATCAAGTCTATCAAGCCACCGTCGAGGAAACTAAGGACCCTTCTGCAAACTTGGATGCAGTGTCTTCCCTCGAGGAACAATTAGAGAAACTGCAAAAATTATTTCAAAAATCTCCAAAATCGTTCGTGACTCCATCTCACTCCTTAATACAAAAGAGTAGCTCTCTAAACAATACGTTGTTAGGTGTTATTCAAAATTCTTTTCATACTTAGATAATTGATTCTAGTGCAACTCGCATATGACTAGTTGTTCTAAATTGTTATCATCCTAAAGACCTTTTGCAAGCAATAAAAATATTAAAATTGATGATGGTTCCCTCTCGATAATTATCGAGATAGGAACTATCATACTCACACTACTGTTTATTCTTCACAATGTGCTCCATGTTCCCAATTTGTCTTGCAACTTGTTGTCCATTAGTAAAAATACAACTGATCATCGATGTAAAACTATTTTTACCCTTCCTGTTATAATTTTAGGATTTAATCACTGAAAGGATAATTAGCAATGGACTATTTGACGCGAGAGCGTCTCCAGCTCATGAACGGGAGGTGGGAGCGAGCCACGCCGCTCCTGCGATCACGCGAGGATCAAACGAAGCGCGATTTTTTCTATTTTCTTTCTAATTTCAGAAAATTTCCCCCATTTTCTTTCTTTCCTTTCAAGTACTTTCCTATATATGTCTTGTAATAGGATTTAGAAGAGCGTGTATTTTGTTTATGACAACCATCGACATCCGTTTTCTCTCTTTGAGAGTTATATTTGTGGGATTGGGTCGTGCGCTGACTGTATCTCTCTCCCGAGGTGTTGATTATCTTTCCAACCTTTCCACATCCTCACCACATCGCTCCCAGCTGACCTCAATTGCTGCAGCTGCCCCCAAACAGTCGTTCTTCCTGCAGTTCCTCATCCAGCCATCCTCCTCACTACAGCAGCACGGGGACAGCCCTTCTTTGGCTTTCCCAAAGCCCCACGCAGCCCCCTCCACTGCCTCCGTCATTCCTA